TTCTCCTATGGAGCAGCTAATAGTTTAGAACTGCTGACCTTGAGGTGAGCAGCCTGACTTGTCACCACTATGTTACCAGAGCTCCTTAAAATCACAGGATGGATTATATTTTCACAAAAATTTAAAAAATATAAAGTATTAGTATCAGTCATTAAAGGAGCCCTGGTAGCATAGTGGATTATGAATTTGGCTGCGAACCATAAGGTCAGCAGTTCGAATCTACCAGCTGCTCCATGGGAGAAAGAGGAGGCTTTCAGCTCCTGTAAAGATTTATAGCCTTGGAAACTCTATCCAGGGTCACTGTGAGTCAGAATGGACTCAGTGACACTCAGCCACCACCTCATTAGTCATTACAATAAAGTCCACTTGTTTAGAAGGTCTGAGCCCACAGTGTGGCATCTAAAATTTAGGTTTGTGGTATTTATGGTGTGGGCCAACGAGGGCAGCATAGCTTATTGTGTTATCTGCCACAAAAAATGGTGAAAAAAGTGCAAAGTTGGTAAATGTCACTAAGACATGGAGTCCTGCTTACAGGGAGTATCGGACTCTTTGAGAAAGAAATATGGATACACTACTGTGGTAGCCAGGCCTCACATTGAGAAGGTAAGCCTGGGACTGCTGTGCACTTAGGTCTCCCCCCAGCACACTTACAGCTCACCACCACAGTTTACACAGAAGTGCAGAAGGCTGCCTCTTCACTGGGTGGCCAGAACCTTCCCTGCAAGAATTCATCATTCATCCTCCAGTGGGTCAACCATGGCTGATATCTTTCTTCATTTTAGGACAAAAAGATGCTCAGTGTGACCCCGGTGACCCTGGCTGTGTTATCAAATAAGACCCTATCTTTGCATCCCCCAGCTCATCTTGAAGGCTTGCCATCTCCAGCCTGATTAACCTCCTCTGTATCTGCTTGATGTCCTCCAACATCACATTCCTGAATCTCATTTCAAGTTATTCCTAGCAGCTCCCCTCTAAAGAATCAGGAATGCAAGTGTAGTACCCAAGTTACGTCATGGAGAAATGGCCACACTTTTCATCCTGCAGCCTACCTAGCCTGGAGTTTTAAACCAACATGAGGGGCTGCAGGCTCAGAAACAGAACAGAAACTTTCTGTGGGGAGACAGGATGCTCCAAAACCTAGAGAAGGAGCTGTGAGCTTCACCACCTCACCTCCCTGGGCACATGACCTGCCTACAACAGGCCCTTGTGTGATCCACACCAAATATTTTGAAGTCCTGGTGTGGTGTTATAGGATAAAGCACTGGATTGCAAGGCCAGTTTGAACCTCAAGGTTGGTAGTTCAAACTCACCAGCCACTCCTCAGAAACTCTATACAGGGTACTTAACAACAACAATGGTATATATATATATTTTTTAAACTAAAGCCATTACAAAATATTTTCATGAAACCTGATTGTGAACAAGTCAGACTTTTGAGAGGTTATACACAGCCAGCTGAGCTGCAAATTTCTAGAATTTAAAAATAAGCATTAACAGCAGTTCTATTACCCAGTTTGTATGAGAGTGCTGTTAGGCTACAATATACCAAAGTATAGCATCTCATTCCTTGTGGCCAGAATGCACAGGCACTAACATCCACACAACTGCAACAGTCCCTTTTAAAAGCTGTGTGGATGCTGAATGCCTCCCACACAGGACTCACCACCAACACCAATGGGTCCACAGTTCCCTAAGGAACATCTGAAAACAGGCTTTCATATGCAAATTTCTGTTCTTCTCTTGGAAAGGAGCAAGTTAGAAGTAATGTAAATGATACTTCTATAGGATACTCGGAAGTCTTTCAGATCAACTTTGTGTGTCTTCCTGAAGTCACCTGTCTAAAGAGCTTTCTCCCACCTGGAAGCACCCTACAGCGTGGTCAAGGGGAACCAACACAGCTAGTTCCAGAGTAGCTTCCAGTGCGCTGCTATTTCTTTGGAACCATATATTTTAGTAAGCCTTGAGATGTTGTCCTTTGAACTCTTTGTACAGCATACATTACAGCCTTTACCAGTGTGTTAGCTGTTGTGCCAGGATTCACTAGTCCAAACAGAAATTAGGATTTGAAGCCGGGTGTTTGCCCTTGCCTCCCTTCCTTCCACACCTCTAACAAAAGTGATCCCACAAGGTGTTTGAAATAGTTTCTGCTGTGCATACCTGGAAGCTGGGTTTTTATGAGAGGCTTGGCGCTCTGAGACCATCAGTCCACTACAATACTCTTCAGTTTGGGCAAGCGTAGGAGCATGGCTTGTCTCTGAAATATACAAGTACTTTGACACAGACGTGGAGTTATTGCTTCTAGTGAAGAAGGCAGTTGGGGCATACTGGTTAGCTTTAGAGTCTGATAAACAGACAGGCAATGTGAGTCACTGGGGTCTGCGGTGGCATCTGCTCCACAGGGCACACACACCCTCGCAGACTGGGCTGGCCCAGGGTCAGCGTGGTCTGTGGAAGTATTTGGAAGCATTCCTTGGCTTTGTTCTACTCTATAAGGTCAGGCATTTGAGGCATGCAGAGGTACTGAGGGAGCATACAAGGGGTCACTGGCAAGGGGCTGAAACAAGTGGGTAAGATGACAAAGCATATAATATCACTGCATCTGCATCAAGTTCAAGTGTACCGTTTACAGTGGTTGACAGGGCTTTCTTCATTTTTGGTACAAGTAAACAGGTACCACCTGTAATCGGTCCACTATTGCAAGACAAATACTTTAGAGAAAATCATCCTTGAAAGACTAACATGTATAGATATTGTACAAGATTAAAAACAAGGCCATAGCATATAGTTTTATAGCAAATCAAAAGGAAGATATTTTTCACCAAACCCTAAGGACATTATGGCTAACTACAGTTCCTGTTGTAACAGGAAATAGATGGGTTTAGAATTGCTCAGGATGAAGGAGGTACCTGCTCCCTTCAGTAGAAGCCCAGTCCCAGGGTGCTGTGGAACAGATAACCATGCATCTGTGGCTTTGAACAGTGAACAACTGTTTCACACGGCTTCAGGTCAGAGGACCAGATCGAACCAGGTTTAGCAGGTTCTTGGTTAGGGCTTGTGAGGCTCACTCAAAGCACCAGCCAGGCTGGGCTCTCATCCACCTCTCCGGAAGAGAATCTGCTTCTGAACTCACTCAGGCTGTTGGCTACGGTCAGGTGGTTGTGGAAGTGAGGTCCATGGCTGTCCGTCAGGGCTGCTTTCAGCCAGGGAATGCAGGTGGCATCCAGCAGCTCAAGTATCTCTCACACTTTCAGTCTTTCCTAACTCATCTGCCCCCTGTAGAGGAGTCCTGGTATGGTGCTGTAGGATAAGCACTAGACTGCAAACTGCAAGGTTGGTGGTTCAAACAAAGCAGTTGCTCTCATAAACCCTATGCAGGGTCATTATGAGGCAGAACCAACTCAAGGACAGTCCACCACTACACACTGCTGTCATCAGCCTGGCCTCAAGTTCTTCTCCTCTCCTTCCTAGCTCTGCTGTTTACCCCCCTGTATGCCACAGAACAGGATGAGCCCAGTGCACAGGTTTAATGCTCCAGTGAATACGTCCTGGAAGCTGGAACCCCCAAGGAAGATAGGAGGACTTTGGGATTACCTCCAACCTCCTGGGGGCAATCAGAAGGTAGGCCCAGCAATACCTCTCTGACTCATCTTCCTAACTGCAGGTCTCTGTGTGCTCAGTCTCTGACTTGCAACCCCCCCTCCCTGGGGTCCACGTCTGAGTTGGCTACTCAGCTGAGCCCGATGGCTTGGCTATTTCTGCCACCACTCCCCATGTCACACCCTCTGGCCCACTTTGTCTTTCCAGTTCATTACAGGGTGATCCATGAGGAGGCTCAGTTTTCCACAGTATTTATGTCCCCTGGACCTGTTCAAAATGGTTCAGTCATGGCTGGTGGAAACAAGAGCAGTGTATATATTGCCTAGAAACCAAAAAATACCCTGGTTTCTTTTGACCTGCGTAAGAGGAGAAAGGCAGCGGTGGCCTACACAAAGATGTCGGCCACCTACGCTCAGAGCAGTGCCATCAACTGCTGCCTACTTGTGTCAAAATCCAATACACACGAGGTTGCTACGCCATTTGTACACTGTCCTTGTGTCTATAGGCCCTGACCAAACAGTTCTGAATTAGCTCAAAGACCTGGTGGAAAGGAACATTCCTGGTTCTCCAGCCTCAAACTGAAGTCATTATGCCTGTTCTAATGACAACCAGCTAGCTCTTGAATACAACACCCTGGAAGGTTGATTTAGCCCGAGAAATGTGTCCTATCAGGTTGGAAGGCTCACTTAGAAACTGTTGAACTCACACGTCTCCCTACCACAACCCAAAACAAAACTAGAGGAGCAGCAGAATTGATCTTATAGAAGGGGATTTTCCGTTTTATAGGAGCAAAGTGCTGTCACACAGACACAGGTGGTGTCTGCAGAATAGAGAAAATCATATCAGGCAAGTGTGCTTGCAGGTCCTCTGGAAGTTGAAAAGCTAGCTTCAGATAGAAGGCCAGGGCCACCACTACCTCAGTAGTCAGAGTAGCTCTCAGTACTCTATGCCTGTCCTGGCTGGGACTAGCTCCAGTCTTACTGGGCTAGCTGAGCTGATGGCCCAGTTTCTGGGACACAGCCTTGTCTCCATAGACCAGACTCACATACGTGTCCTCTCAAGCCTGGCACACCACAGCTCCCAGGCTCTAGCACTCTGGTGAATGTCCTGGAGTTCCGAGGCCCACTGCTCACTTGGCCAAACTTGGCAGTCTGGCTAATGAGAGACACTGCTCCCCTGTGCTGCCCAAGGACAAGACTAAACAACACCGCCTGTCCACACAGAGGTGAAGTGCACCCCCTCCCTCATGTTCACAGAGATGCTGCTCCCCAAAGCATCCTGGTCCTCAGACACAGACGACAAACACACCTTTCCTGCGCCAGGTCCTGAGCTGAGCTCCTGCCCTGCGGGCTTGGGCCTGGGCACAGGCCCCACGCCTGGCTGAGGGATGTGCTAAGCCTCCTTCACAGCTGCTCTGGTGGGGAGGCAACAGCAAGAGGGTTGTGAGGAGGCCCGGTGCCCTGCAGAGCCTCCAGGTCCGCTGGCACAGACACAGCGGGCACTGGGGGACAGCTGGTGGCCAGTCTGCTTTGGAGACCAGTTTTCCTGTAAGGACATGTTTTTTGCTCTGTGTTTAAAGACCTGGTTTGGGAGCTGCTTCCCTCCGTCCTTCCCTCTAGGAAGTACGTCAGCATCTCGCCCTTGCCCTTGACGCTGACTTTCCCTCGGCACACAAACTGGTAGTGGTACCCCGTCAGCAGTCGGTGCACTTCCTCCGTCACCTGCCATCAGAGAAAAGGGGGGTTACTCTTGGTTATGTGCAGCAGCAAGGAAGAGGGGGCTGGGTTCTTCCCACCCACTGCCACAGATGTTCCCCTCAAACAACTTAATCCATTCTGAGCCCACCCTCTCACCAAATCTGCCAGTTCTCAGCAGAACTGAGGGTAAGAGAGATCCATTTTTTGGCGTGAAGCAGACCTTTTGCTTTGTTTGATTTTCTTCATCGTTTTCCTCCCAGTCTAGTACCTGGTCTAAATATTTGCATACTCCTGTCAAATGCCCTTACTAGGAAGGAAGCAGCACAACGCTGGGGATGTGGTCTGTTTTATTTCCACCACTCCAGCAGCACTGTTGCTGAATAAGGGACTGCAGACCAGTCTGGAGGCATGCTGGGTTTTTCAGAAGGCAGGAAATTACCGGGAAATCTGCGCGATAAGCCAGCTTCTCTGGAAGTTAGACAGAGAGGGGCAGCCCTGCCAAAAACAATACCAGCACTGTCGCTCTGCCTTATCAGTAACCCATCCAATGCCTGTGGTGGAATGCCTGCACTCTACCAACCATGGGCTCTGGGGTCTCAGGTCAGGTATTAGAAAAGTGCCCTGAGTCCCTCTGATGAACAAGGCTCTTCTTGGGCCTGTTATCATCCGCCCAGATTGTGCATCTATGACCAGGCTGGTCTGATGACCACACTGGGTGCTGCTAAAGGGAGTTCTCTACTATGCAAACCTCAGTGTCCTTCTCTGACCTTCCCACCAATGGGAATAAAACAGTATCTCCTTTCCAAGGTCAATCAGCAGAGATATACAGCAAGGTCATCTGTAACAGGTGTATACAATAAGCTAAAGCACTCTCAAGTGCTAACACAAAATCATTTCTCAGTTTTTTTGTATTTTATTAGAAAAGAGTTGAGAGAAACAGGAAAAATTGAGGGCTTAGATAAGGTGCGTCTTAATATCCCCTACTCCCAACAAAGACTTGAGCAACCAAGTGAAACGGTTACAAACAACTCCAGAACCATGAACACCAAAGGGAAGCTGGAAGAATTGGCCTGAGTGGAAAACGTTAGAATGAAATCAGCAGGTATATGGAGAATCTCACCGAGCCCACACCTGGCCAGCTGGCCTGGAACAGCATAGTCATTTTGAGACAGCAGCAAACAACTTTCCTGGTCAAGGAGCCCAGGAAAGCCGCTGCATGGACAACACAGCTGGAGGCAAAGATACTGAGTGAATGAGCATGGAAAGAAAGGTAGGCAGGTTGTGTGCCAAGTCCAAACTAGCTTGAGAAGGAGACACAGGAATTCCTTCACTTAGAAACTGAGGAGACACAGTGCAGAGCCAGAGAAGCAAAGTGGGGCAGACAGAATCCCTGTTGTCTCAGAACAGGAAGTGCAAGTCTGTGGAAGGACAAGGGTGAGCACTGAGTGCAGGGGCTTCGTCGTCCCAGCCAGGGACAGATGGAAGGACATGGAGAGTGTTGATGGGACTTCTTATCACCACTGGTGTAGCACTGCAGGTTAATGTGCTGGAATGTAGGGTCAGAGGTTCAAGCTCACCATCTGCTCCTCAACCCTAAGCAGGGTTGCTATGAATCAGAACCTACCCAACTACACTTGACAATATCATCACTATAGTGCAAATAGTGCATGTCCATTTAGGTGGGAGACAGCCACTGAATAATGAAAAGTTTCACCCTTGACTAGTCCTTTGCCAACTCCCCCTCTGTTCCCATTGTGCCTCCCACCCCCACTGCCCATATGGAAAACCCTCAGTGACTCACCCAACAAGGGACATGCCCACTGCTTCCCCTATCTGACCCACATGGAGAGGAGTCCCAGAGGGTTACCGACAGCTCCCACCACCTGGCTACATGGAGAAGATGCCAAAACATGTCTACTTCTCCTCTTGCCCAGGAGAACCACCCACCTCATCTCTTGCCTGGACCAAGTCCACTGTGTACACCTGGCCTGCGTAGCAAGGCACCCAGGTGACTCTTCCCACACCCTGTTTGCCCATCTTGTCTGAGCCCATTGTGCACCCAGGCTAGCCTGTGAGACGAGATGTCCCCAGTTACATACAGTCTATTCCCTCAGATCATCTGAGGAGACCCCTAGATCTCCCCTTGTCACTATGATACTAACCCATAACTAAGCAGAGGGCCAGCCTGGCCCATTAGAATTGCACTGCATCCCACTCTCCAAAGGCTTCACCAACAGCAGAGGCCAATGCGGCTGTACCACGTGGTCCAACATTTGGGAAGGGTGCTTGCTCCCTTCAAGGCAAGGCACACAGGCACAGAGAATGTCCATGTCAATGAGACCCATCATGGCCACCAGTGAGAGAAAATTACCCAAACTATCAGCAGGATCATAGGCATACACACACCATTACTACTACACACCATTACTACTAAGTAACATTATAGCAACACAAGGGAAGTCAACATATCAAGAGAAATGTAGAGCACCAAGCTTCAGTTATATCTCAACAAAAGAAACAAGACAAACATAGAATCAATAAAGAGATATGTAATGTATCCAATATAATGCTTCAAAGCCAGCAGTTACAAATCATATGAATAAACAGGATAAAATGTCTCAAGAAAATGAGCAAAATAAAAGAATAAAAATAAAGGGGTGAAACGTTTTTGAGAAAGAATGGATACAGATACAGAGCTGCCTGGTAGGGAATTTAAAATAATACAAAAAATTCAGAGAGGTCAAAGAAAACGGGGGAAAAAACACCACTAGAAGAGTTTAGAAAACAATATAAGACCCTAACCGACAAACCCAATACAGAAATGGAAACCATAAAAAAAGACGTAGAAATTCAGAAGGTTAACAATAAAACATTATACATGATTCAGTGGGAAGCCACAGAAGTATAATTGAAGCAATGAAAGAAAAAGACTGAAGAAAGTGTATATGTGGGACACGATGAAGAGGAATAATATGCACATATTAGGAAGTGGGAAAGATTAAAAATGAGAACAAAGAATTGTTAAAGACACAATGGCAGAAATCAGAGGAGAAAACAAAACAGAGGAGATGACATACACCCAAGAAGCTCAATAAACTCTATATAGAAGCAATTCCAAAATAAATTCAGCAATTCATAACATAATGAAACTTTCCAGAACCAAAGGCCAAGAAATAATTTTGAGAACAGTATGTGAACAACGAAGTATCACGTACACAGGGACCTCATTAAGATTAAATGCTGATTTCTCATGAGAAACCATGCAGGCAAGAAGGAAATGGGAGAGTGTATGCAAAGTCCTGAGAGAAAAGTCAGTAAAGAATCACATCAATCAAAATTGCCTTTCACAAATGAGGACCAAACTAGGACAAATCCAAGAAAGAAGAAATCAAGGGAATTTGTAACTACCAAACAAGCTCTACAAGAGATAAGAGCAAATAAACCATTACTACCACACACACAATGTATAACAAAATGACAGCAGGAAATACTTACCTACCGGTCATCACACAGAATATAGACGGATTTAACGCACCGTCAGCAGGCCAAGAGTGGCAGAATGAAGACAAATACCTGACTCATCGGTATGTTAGGTACAAGAGACACACGTTAGACACGACGCCTTAAATAGGTTAACAATCAATGGATAGAAAAAAATATAACCAAAAGAGAGCATGAGTGGCAATATTAATATCTGGTAAAAGGGTTTTTTGTTTGTTTGGTTTCAAAATCAAGATCCACTTTCAGAAACATCGAAGAACATTATATAATGATTTAAAGGACTAATTAACAAGAAAAAAATAATTATAAAATTTTATGCACCCAATCCCCCAAAGCTCCAAAATGAAAGAAAAAAACATGTAATTGAAGAGAGAAATTGACCTGCAATAATAGTAAGAGATACGAACACACGACTTTTGATGATGGACAGAACAAGAAAGAAAATCAATATAGATACAGAAGATCGAAAAAATACTAGTAACCAAGTGGACTTCATGGACATCTACAAAACACTGTCCAACAGCAGCACAATACACATTCTTCTCCAATGCACATGGAACATTCTCCAGAGCAGAGGTGCTACTAGTAATATATTATTTTCATTTTATTTATTTTCCTTATTCTTTCTATTACTGATTTCTAGTTTCAGACAATTATGGTCAGAGAAGTTGCTTTGTATAATTTCATTATTTTGACACGCTGCTTTGTGACCTTAAATATGACTCCTGGTGTAGCATTAGCACTGGGCTGCCAGGTTGGTTTTGAACCTCAAGGGTCCAGTCACTCCTTGGAAACCCTATACAGGGTCGCTTTGGGTCAGAACTGACTTGACAGCACTTAACAACAACGAAAGTGTGGCACTGTAGGATATACACTGAACTGCTGACTGCAAGGCTGGTGGTTCAAACTCACCAGCCGCTCCTTGGAAACCGTATGCAGGGTCGCTATGGGTCAGAATTGATCTGATGACACTTAACAACAACAAACTATTGGCTCATAAAAAAAGATAAACTTAAAACTTCTTAGAATCCATTGAGAATGAAAACACAGCATACCAAGACCTTTGGAGTGCAGCAAAAGCAATACTTAGAAGGGAATTTGTCACAGTACGAGCATATTATTTTTTAAAAAAAAGATCGCAAACCACCAACTTAACTCACTAACTTGAACAAATAAGAAAAGGAAGACCAAAAAAAGACCAAAGCTACCAGAAGAAAGGAAATAGTAAAATTCAGAGCTGAAATAAATGAAATATAAAACAAAATCAATAGACTCAACAAGACTAGCAGCGGGGTCTTCATTTGGGATTAATAGAATTGACAAACTATTGGCAAAATTTACAATTGAAAAGTAGAGAATGCAAATAATCTAAACAAATGTCACTGGGCATTACAGCAGTGCCAACTGAAATAAAGTGAATTATAACAGAACACTATGAAAAATGTAACCCCAAGAAATTTGAGGCCCCTGGTGTTGTACTGTGGGTTAAGGCGCTGGACTGCAAAGTCGGTTTGAACTGCAAG